GGTGTTACCATCTACAACTGTTGTAGATGTTGTATTATCATTTTGATTGGCATTATTACCCTTTTGACCGATGGCAGGACAGAAGGTTTCTTCGGTTACAAAGTTGCGATCACAGCCTAAAGAAAACAGGAAATGAATATGAAAGTGATTTGAATGTTATTGTGTAAAGTAATAAGAGAGAAAAGAAAGCGAAGTAGAAAACTGTGTATGTTATTTATGTAAGATATTTACCACGGGCTAGCCAATCTTGTTTTTTGCGATCTGTACCGGTGGAACATCTGTTTAAGTTTGGACACCATGTACACTGAAAATAATAAAAAAAAAACGTACAATTTAATTGTAATATGTAAAAGCTTGGACTCAAATAAAACTTTATTATTATAACAATTTCAAATTTGTTCGAACATAAGTTCGAATAGCAAATGTTTCGCTTATTTAAGAGTAAACGACAAGAAATGAGTAATTTGCAATCTCCTTAGCAACTAGACTTTTCTAAAAAATAAATACGGGAATTTAACTTTTGCTCCCTTTGCATAAAATTTATGTTCAAATACCAAGAAAAATCCCTCAATTTATTATAATTTATTCTACGAATTTATAAATCTTTGACTAGATTTTATATAAAAACAAAACAACAACAAAGAACGCAAGACAATAGAAGATAAAACAATCAAAACTAAGAATATATTTCAATGTATAAAATCTATATAGAAAAGAAAAGAAGAAAAAAAAACCAGAATACTTACATTAAATGCAGTGACATGATTTACACATGAGGCACAATCGGTATATTCAAGACAAGTGGGTAAAGCTTTCAAAGTGATGATTGTGGAATTTGTAATCTCGGCATTGGCAAAATTAACTCTATGATATTCATAAATTGTTTTTCTACGAGCGACTATAAAGTTAGTAAGAAAACAAAAAAAAAAACACAAACAAATATATTAAGAAAACCTCATCATTTAAATTAACAAAATGAAAAAATACTTACAGTAGACAACTTTGTCAATAATATAGGCATCGGAGAGACCAACCTTGACAGGATGTTTGTCATCTTGTATGGCATTAACAAAAATCGGCACTGAGAAATAAGTAAAAAACAATATCACCATTTTTATGCAATGTGGCACTAAAAGTGAATTTGCCCACTTCTGGTTTATCTTGTAGATTAACATTTTCCCAAATGACTGTAAAACTGGAACCTAAAAATCAAAATTGAAATTAATATTCATAAATATTAACTTATCTTTAAAGAAAATAATTAACTTACCGGTATCATTTAGACGCACATATGAATCATTTGATAGACTGGTATCGAAATTGGCCATAAGTGGAGCTATATATTGTGTTGCCGCTAACCAAGAGTGTACATAATCGCCAGTGTAAATAAAGCCACCAGTGGCCACGGTAACATTTCTTACAGGATGACCATAGAAGGGAAAATCGAAACTCAAAACAACAGTCTAGAGATTAGAAGAAACAAATGAACATAATTGTAAGTATAATTGAAGGTAAATTCGTGTTATTTATTTTCTCTTGATTAACAGAAGACAAAAACTAATGTATCATCTGAACCTATACAGTTAGTTTAAAATGTTTCACTTAAACCTTCTATATAGCTTTCCCATTTAAGTGACAGTTGATTTGTTTTAACTGACATGCAAAAATAGCAATTAAGTGTAAATTAGCAACGTGACTGTCTTGTAAATTAAGTTAAAAATAAATTGACTCATCTATTTTATGTCAACATTAGATAAAAATTATTACAGCATTCAAAATCTAAAAATTCCACTTACCATAGCTCTACGATGTGATTGTGATAACATCCAGTTAGGGGACATATTTTTAATTTCATTCCAGTATGTATCAGCTTTTTCTTTGTCCACAACAATTGTACTATTATAGTAATGATGATGATCCTATAATAAACAAAATTAAATGTCAATTAGAAACAACAAAATACTACCTTTCTCACAACCCACCTCAGTTTGATTCACCGTTAAATTATTATGTTTCAAAGCATCTAATGTCTCATTCTCGGGCACATCTATGGTATCGATAATTTTCTCTTCCTCAGTTTCCTCCTCTTTCTGTACACCAGCTGCCACTGTTGCCGCAACTGTACCACCACCTACTGCAGCTCCAGCTGCAACTGTTGCTCCTGTTTTTGTTAATGTTGCCGAAGCTCCCAACGTTGAACCTAAAGCTTTTTTAGGATATTGATTAAGATTTTTCTTTGCATCACTACTACTGCTACCGTCATCATTATTGGCTTTTATCGTTTCTGGTTGTACGGTAGTACTTGCGACTTTTGTGGCTTTATCGGTCATAATCTTTACGTTGTCCCGTACCATTGACACCCAAAAGGGGTCGATTACTGTAGGGCACAACAACGGGTGTGGCCGCTGAACCAGATGCAGTGGCATTGAGTTGTGCTGAGGCTGTTGCTATGGTTGGACTTGGTGTGTTTTGAACACTTTCATATTGAGTCTTTTGTCGTCTGGAAAAGGGGAAAATCATTAAAGAAAATAAAAAACTGTAGTCTAGTTTATAGTCTTAACTATAGAGTAGTCTAGACTATAGTCTGGCCAATAGTCTAGTCAATAGTCTTGACTTAAGTCCTAGTCTATAGTTTAGCCTATAGTCTGGACTATAGTAGGCTAGTCCTAGTCTACAGTTAGGCTATTATTTCTATATGCGGTCTAGTATTAGTCTTATTCTAGGTCTATAATCTGGTCTAGTCTATAGTCTAGTCCTATAGTCTAGTCTATAGTCTAGTCTATCGTCTAGTCTATGGTCTAGTCTATAGTCCTACGTCTATAGTCTAGTCTCTAGTCTAGTCTATAGTCTAGTCTATAGTCTAGTCTATAGTCTAGTCTATAGTCTAGTCTATAGTCTAGTCTATAGTCTAGTCTGTAGTCTAGTCTGTAGGCTCTAGTCTATAGTCTCGTCTATAGTCTAGTCTATAGTCTAGTCTGTAGTCTAGTTCTATAGTCTAGTTCTATAGTCTAGTCTATAGTCTAGGTCTATAGTCTAGTCTATAGTCTAGTCTATAGGTCTAGCTATCTAGTATAGTCTAGTCTATAGTCTATGGTCTATGGCTCTAGTCTATAGTCTAGTCTATAGTCTAGTCTATAGTCTAGTCTATGGTCTAGTCTATAGTCTAGTCTATAGTCTAGTCTATAGTCTAGTCTATAGTCTAGTCTATAGTCTAGTCTATAGTCTAGTCTATAGTCTAGTCTATAGTCTAGTCTATAGTCTAGTCTATAGTCTAGTCTATAGTCTAGTCTATAGTCTAGTCTATAGTCTAGTCTATAGTCTAGTCTATAGTCTAGTCTATAGTCTAGTCTATAGTCTAGTCTATAGTCTAGTCTATAGTCTAGTCTATAGTCTAGTCTATAGTCTAGTCTATAGTCTAGTCTATAGTCTAGTCTATAGTCTAGTCTATAGTCTAGTCTATAGTCTAGTCTATAGTCTAGTCTATAGTCTAGTCTATAGTCTAGTCTATAGTCTAGTCTATAGTCTAGTCTATAGTCTAGTCTATAGTCTAGTCTATAGTCTAGCCTATAGTCTAGTCTATAGTCTAGTCTATAGTCTAGTCTATAGTCTAGTCTATAGTCTAGTCTATAGTCTAGTCTATAGTCTAGTCTATAGTCTAGTCTATAGTCTAGTCTATAGTCTAGTCTATAGTCTAGTCTATAGTCTAGTCTATAGTCTAGTCTATAGTCTAGTCTATAGTCTAGTCTATAGTCCAGTCTATAGTCTAGTCTATAGTCTAGTCTATAGTCTAGTCTATAGTCTAGTCTATAGTCTAGTCTATAGTCTAGTCTATAGTCTAGTCTATAGTCTAGTCTATAGTCTAGTCTATAGTCTAGTCTATAGTCTAGTCTATAGTCTAGTCTATAGTCTAGTCTATAGTCTAGTCTATAGTCTAGTCTATAGTCTAGTCTATAGTCTAGTCTATAGTCTAGTCTATAGTCTAGTCTATAGTCTAGTCTATAGTCTAGTCTATAGTCTAGTCTATAGTCTAGTCTATAGTCTAGTCTATAGTCTAGTCTATAGTCTAGTCTATAGTCTAGTCTATAGTCTAGTCTATAGTCTAGTCTATAGTCTAGTCTATAGTCTAGTCTATAGTCTAGTCTATAGTCTAGTCTATAGTCTAGTCTATAGTCTAGTCTATAGTCTAGTCTATAGTCTAGTCTATAGTCTAGTCTATAGTCTAGTCTATAGTCTAGTCTATAGTCTAGTCTATAGTCTAGTCTATAGTCTAGTCTATAGTCTAGTCTATAGTCTAGTCTATAGTCTAGTCTATAGTCTAGTCTATAGTCTAGTCTATAGTCTAGTCTATAGTCTAGTCTATAGTCTAGTCTATAGTCTAGTCTATAGTCTAGTCTATAGTCTAGTCTATAGTCTAGTCTATAGTCTAGTCTAGTCTATAGTCTAGTCTATAGTCTAGTCTATAGTCTAGTCTAGTCTATAGTCTAGTCTAGTCTATAGTCTAGTCTATAGTCTAGTCTATAGTCTAGTCTATAGTCTAGTCTATAGTCTAGTCTATAGTCTAGTCTAGTCTAGTCTATGTCTAGTCTATAGTCTAGTCTATAGTCTAGTCTATAGTCTAGTCTAGTCTAGTCTAGTCTATAGTCTAGTCTAGTCTACAGTCTAGTCTAGTCTATAGTCTAGTCTAGTCTATAGTCTAGTCTATAGTCTAGTCTATAGTCTAGTCTATAGTCTAGTCTATAGTCTAGTCTATAGTCTAGTCTATAGTCTAGTCTATAGTCTAGTCTATAGTCTAGTCTATAGTCTAGTCTATAGTCTAGTCTATAGTCTAGTCTATAGTCTAGTCTATAGTCTAGTCTAGTCTAGTCTAGTCTATAGTCTAGTCTATAGTCTAGTCTATAGTCTAGTCTAGTCTATAGTCTAGTCTATAGTCTAGTCTAGTCTATAGTCTAGTCTATAGTCTAGTCTATAGTCTAGTCTATAGTCTAGTCTATAGTCTAGTCTATAGTCTAGTGTATAGTCTAGTGTATAGTCTAGTCTATAGTCTAGTCTATAGTCTAGTCTATAGTCTAGTGTATAGTCTAGTGTATAGTCTAGTCTATAGTCTAGTCTATAGTCTAGTGTATAGTCTAGTCTATAGTCTAGTCTATAGTCTAGTCTATAGTCTAGTCTATAGTCTAGTCTATAGTCTAGTCTATAGTCTAGTGTATAGTCTAGTGTATAGTCTAGTCTATAGTCTAGTCTATAGTCTAGTATATAGTCTAGTCTATAGTCTAGTCTATAGTCTAGTCTATAGTCTAGTCTATAGTCTAGTCTATAGTCTAGTCTATAGTCTAGTCTATAGTCTAGTCTATAGTCTAGTCTATAGTCTAGTCTATAGTCTAGTCTATAGTCTAGTCTATAGTCTAGTCTATAGTCTAGTCTATAGTCTAGTCTATAGTCTAGTCTATAGTCTAGTCTATAGTCTAGTCTATAGTCTAGTCTATAGTCTAGTCTATAGTCTAGTCTATAGTCTAGTCTATAGTCTAGTCTATAGTCTAGTCTATAGTCTAGTCTATAGTCTAGTCTATAGTCTAGTCTATAGTCTAGTCTATAGTCTAGTCTATAGTCTAGTAGTCTATTATAGTCTAGGTCTATAGCTAGTCTCTAGTCTAGCTATGTCTAGTCTATTGTCTAGCCTATAGCTCGTCTATAGTCTAGTCGATAGTCTAGTCTATAGTCTAGTTTTATAGTCTAGTCTATAGTCTAGTCTATAGTCTAGTCTATGTCTCGACTATATTCTAGTCTATAGTGTGGTTTATATAATAGTGTAATATTTAGTCTATAGACTGGACAGTCGCTTATTTTTACAGCAAACAAATTTACATTTGTAGGAAATAAGTTTTCGCACAAATCTCTCTGAAAATCACTAGAAAACAATAAATCTGTATTAAGTTTTGATTAATTTCAACACAATTCATAACAACTATTATAATTAAATGTTATAACTATTTTCACCAACCAATTAATGTTGCATTAAACTTGTTATTATAATTACACCTTTGACATTTAGAGCGATTATTTTTATGGTCACTTAAAAACACCTATTTATGCAAATAATATTACGCATTTTCAATGTGTGCAAAATAGACCATAATCTCATTATCAATATTCTATTATTATTAAAAGAGAAAACATTATGAATAATAAATAAAAAAGTAAAACAGAAAAAGTAAATTTATTTGCCATCATAGTGGGGTGCACATTATGGAATACGTACTTTAACAATATGGAGCTTGTAAGTATTGCGTTTCAGTTTTTTTTATTACTATTTTTTTGCTATAATTACAAATAGGAAGTTGAAAACTTTACTCAAACCTATTAACATAACATTAATAGAAAATCGATTTTCTTTTTTTTTTCGTTGTTGTTTAATGTTGATACTTTCCTCTATTATGCCGCATACTATTCAAGCGATACGTATTGGTTAGAGGTGAATGTAGTTTCCGAAGATTTGGAAAAAATTAATTTAAATATAAATTTTCGGCATATAGTGAATGTAAACAAAGTTATTTATAAAATTTTTGCAAATGGTTTGAAATCTGAAATTAAAATATCAAAATTATTTTCAAACCTAAACAAACATTTTTGCACTCACCCAATAATTAATAATATCAAAAGAAACAGTAGGACATGAAATTACAATATTTAATGGAAATAAAAACCGCTTTGCCCTTAATAAATCCATAAATGCGTAGATGTTATAAAACCGAATAAAATGTTACAAATATGTGCACAAAAAAAAAATGTCCACGAAAAACATCAAGAAATAAAAAACAAATAATAAAAACAACATAACAAAACATACTAGCCCCTTTTAAAAGACATTTGAATGGAAATATTTTCAAAAACTTCTTAGTTTTTCTAATTTTTTAGGAAAATGTCATAAAAAGAGAGTCATTCAATTTGGGGGGGGTTGGTGTTATGTTAAAAATTAGCCTAATAGAGAAAGAAAACATTTTTGTACAAGTTTTCTTGGTCTATTTATATTTAACAATATGGTCAAATAGTTTGAACCTTATGAACAAAGTTTTCTTTAATAAAATTAAATGACACTGTATGGACAACAACAAAAAATGTATACTGAATAAATGAATATTTTATTAATTTTTGTTTAGAAAATATTCTAAGCATAATAATAGCATAAAATTTTAAGACGTTTAGAGAGGTGTTATTTGTCTTAATGATTTGAAGTAATTTTTAAACCAAAATTTTGAACTAGATCTTAAATCACTAGGTTTAAGGCCGAAAATTTCACAATGCCAGTTATCTCACATATTTATAAAACTTTGGAGCAATCTAAAGAACTATAGGCTAGACTAAAGACTAGAACATACTAGAATACTCTAGACTATTGACTGAACAATATATTATAAAGTAGACTATAGACTAGACTATATACTATACTATATAGACTAGACTATAGACTAGACTATAGACTAGACTATAGACTAGACTAAAGAC